TCAGGACTGCTGAGAGGATTATTGGTGCCCCTCTGCCCAGCCTCCAAGATCTTTACATCTCCAGAGTGAGGAAAAGGGCTAAAAAACTCACCTTGGACCCCTCACACCCAGCCCACTCTCTTCGAACTGTTGCCTTCTGGCCGTCGCTACAGAGCACTGACCACCAGAACAGCCAGGCACAAGAACAGTTTTTTCCCACAGGCTATATTCAGTCTGAACAATTAATCTTTCATAATTATACATCGTCCATCACAACTAACATAGTTATCTGACATATTTATATTAAACTGCACACTTTGTAAATAACATATCTGCACACTTATAACATATCTGTACATTTATCTAAACAATTACATTTTTTCCTATACTTCTATTTCTGTATATAGTACATTATTTAATGTTTTCTTTATATATATATATATATACTGTATATATATATATATAGTTTTATATTACATCCCTACTGTGTTATTCCTATGTATGTCTGCACTATCATGTATGTCTGCACTGTTTGTACTTTCTTCTACACTGGAAGCGTCAAGTGTCAAGTCAAATTCCTTGTGTGTGTAAACATACTTGGTAATAAAGCTCTTCTGATTCTGATCTGATTCTGATTAATATCAACTCGGATCAACAGATCAACTCAACACATCGAACTCAACATTTAGTTATTAGATTTAGTTATTTTTATATCCAATTCAGATCACTTTAATTGACTGTTAAATAATTAACTGGGTTAGTGTGTCAGCTCAGTTCATGATACACTGAGCACAAATGTGTGTTAAATGCTTTAGGAATAAAGTGTGGCCTGTTCTTGTTCTGAGCCTTGGGCCCTGTCTCTAATTCCTCAGTGGAGAACATATGCCCCATGCCCTCAGGAAATGAAAATGAAACACAATAGCAATAACAGAAACAAACATGGAAAGAAGGCATAGAAAGCATTTGCGCATTTTGCGGGTGAGACATGTTCCCACCTCTTTCTGCAAAACCGATTCCATTACATCATTTTTTGAAAATAGTTTGGTGAAGGAATGTAAATCTGAAACACACATTTTATTTTATTTATTTTTTTGAAAAACATGGAAATAGTTTATTATTTTTCATCCTATTGTTTGTTATATTTTTAGACTTGGTCAGTGTCTTTGTGGGTTTAGGTTCTTGTACTTTTGTAGGTTTTAAGGACCTTTTAAATAATTGAAATAATTTGGCAAAGTGATATGGAATGGAACTGTAATGTAGTCAAGACCTGCCTGGAAGTACTTTAGCCATGCATTTCCAGACAAATAATTTTACACCTAAATATAAGCCGATTTTCACTTAAAGTTTACGCAGCACTACGCAAATACAGACACCTAAAACACCATGCTACCTACACCGTGCATCTGGATAAATGTCCAGTTATAACACCTTTCTCTATCATCAGATTATCATCAGCTGATTTACTGCAGCTATGATAACAGCAAAATCATAAACGTTAAACGTACGTTCTGCAGTGTACATACGGATCCATTCTGCAGAGAGTAAAAGTAAAATTGAGGCAATGTTGTAGTTAATCAAGTAGTTTTACTCTACAGATTATTATTGACAATTTGTGATTACATCTGCTGTTAACAACTATAGTCACTGAGGATACGAAAAGCTGGCCTTTTAAATTTTAGGATGGGGGTCACATAAGGATGATCATATTTGGGGGTCTGTGGCAAATAAATTATTTGAAAACCCTAGTTATAGAGAGCATTTGATTAGAAAGATAATCTGACGAAAAGCTAAAATGCTGACTGAAGTCATCAAAATTGTTGATCCATATTGGGGTTAGAGAGAATGTAAATTTTAAAGTGCCCCTATTTTGAAAATTACCTTTCATGCAGCTATAAGTGAATGAAAACATCCTG